GTCTACCATCTGCCTGAGAATAATAATCATCTTGGAATAATATTCTTATGAAGAAAAATGCGTTTCGCAACTGGAACATTAACATGTATTTAGTAACATATTTCATTTTTGTAAACTGTGGACTTATAATTTTACATAAGAAATTGGTTCTTTTACTTTAACCAAATAAAGGACCATTATTCCAAAACATTTATATCATTTTAGTGAACTAAGATATGTATGTGAGGTTACAATATCAGACTTTGGTGAACGATTATTTTCTAGTTTTTTGGGAAACAGAACTTGATTTTCTACGTAAATAACTATATCTTATCCAAAGAGGAAATATTCGAAATTAAGTAACTTGTTACATAACAGAATGTAAACGGAATGGTAAACCTATATACATATTATAAAATGACTCTAATTTGTTTACTTATTGTTCTCTCTTCTGTTGATTAAATTCATTTCGGTCCTTTTTTATTTTTAAGCTAACATTCTATAAATGGCTTAGGTGAAATGCCTCAATAAATTATTCTATAGACAATAAGGTCAACTATGTAAGTGTATATTCAGTACTTGGTTTATTGTAACATGACATGTAACATGTGTTTAGCCTACACAGCGAATTCGTTGTGTGGTAGTAGTTGGTTTTTTTATTATAATACAAATCTGATGTGACTTTTTGCTGGCTAACAAAACTGTTAAATTATAAGTGATAAATATCAGTAAAAAACATTCAGGTTTAAACGCTTTTGAAAAGCCGATTTCAAATTTAGTTTGGCAAATGCTGTATCTATATCATTCTATTTAAAGAAACAATGATACCTGTTACTCAATAGCACTAAAGGGTCGTCCTATTTTATTTACTTCGGTCCATTACATTGTTTGCTAAAGCAATTGTGATGTTCTAGAAATATTTGTCAACGGAAGCCTCGACGGTTAAATATATTCATAGATTTACATATAGTAATAAATGTTAAAAAATATAATATAAATACATATTGAATTTAAATTTTAGATATATAATTTATATTTAAGTAAATCAGATGTTATTGTTATAATATATAACAAAACATTTGTTCCTTTAAATATTTAATTATCTTTTCATCAAAATCAGAACAAGCGTTTTATCCTTGTAGATTTGTAGGGGTTTTTGTTGGTGTTGTTGTCTTTATTGAAGTTTATTATTATTATTATTATTATTATTATTATTATTATTATACAGTAACCATTTACCGAATATTTGAAATATTCTTGCAGTTTACTTTAAAATCAGTTTGTTATTAATACAATCATGATTGAATCCCAATATAATATGTTCATGTACATTTGATAACGAGTAAAACAAGTAAACAAATCACTGAAAAAAATACTATATATATTTTTTTTTTTAAAAGAGCATATAACAAAAATTTTAAACAAATCATTGAGTGTTTTCAAGATTTGCATTTCAAAATAACATAGAAAACGTAAATGTTTTAAATTTACACCTATTCTTACCTGAAGGAAAACCACGAAGACAACGGTATTGTTAGCTAAGCCCTAAACCAGACACACAAAAAAATAATTTTATATCATTGCAGTTGAATGGAAATTAAATATGCAGTTGATATTGTGTTTACTGTGTTAACTATCAATTCTATTTAACTTTATCTTTTATAGATAAATCTCATAAATTATTAATATCATAAATAGAAAATTAGTAAAGTTCTGAAAACTATTTCATTTACAACTATACACACAAAGTTGATGCTAGAATACTTTTATAGTTCATGTATCTTATTTATTCAATGCTTATCAAAGAAAAAGATAGATCTTAATTGATCAACTCTTTGAACTACATGCAATAATGATGCTGTAATGTTTCATATACATACCCTTTACTTATCTCAACGATCGAAGGAGTGGTACTTTAAACGCAATTATGACCAAGATAAGTATTGACAGAAACATTATCTGTCTATAATAACATTAACAAAAACAGCCTTTATGTTATTCAGATTCGGTACTATTGATCTTATAGCATCATTGTGGTTAATTATCTATTCAATACGGTGCAAACATATCAATAACGCTTTGAAATAACAAGTAATTGTAAAGAATTGATTACGTGAGATATATTATATAAGATCCATTAACAGGTAATTCACAAGTTCTCTATCTACTGTAATACGTTATTGATCTTACCACAACGGTAGAAAACGCATTTTAGCTCACCTGATCACAAAGTGGTCAAGGTGAGCTTTTGTGATAATAATTTTCTATTGCGTCAAATTTGATGAAATTTCTTGGTAAATTTCTCTAGCATGAAGCTCTACTAAAATTGTTCAAAAGGTTCAGAAGAATCTGCTCAATTGAACATCTGGCTCAGGGCTAAAAAAATTTAATAATGAAATCTTTAAAATATCTTTTCCTATGAGAGTGCAAGGCCTAGAGCGTAGATATTTTGTGTGTAGCATCATCTTATAAAACCCTAAAAAACATTCAAATTATAGTCATAAGGTCAAAATTGGCATAATGTCTGTCTTTCATCAACAGTCATCAATATTTTTCAGTCCTATAATAATAATAATAATAATAATAATATCTTTATTTAAAGAAGGTTACACATTAAGAACATACAATAACAATCATATATATCTTATTTCCAATGTGGCCTTCTGAAATAGAAAACAACAACAACAACAGGACATGCATAGGTAGAAAAATGAATGTATAACATGTAATTTTTAGAATAATGCAACTCATATACTTTCGACAGACACTCAACAATTTGTTTAAACATATACGTATATTGCATCATTCGTTGGTTCGTTCATTCGTACGTTCATATATTTATTCATTCATTCATTCATTCATTCACTCACTCATTCATTCATATAAACATCAAGATATGCTTTGTATTTTTCTTTAAAACATTTAAGGTTATTAACATTACGAATATTTAAAGGTATATTGTTCCAAATGTTCATGCCATAATAAGAAAATGTGTCTTTAATATAATTTGTTTTAGGTCTTGTCCATAATACAATATCTTTTTGTGACCTAGATCTTAAGTTATATATTTTGTTGTCGGATAAAGTCATCAGTTCTGTCATATAAGTCGGTGCCATGTTATTTAAAGTTTTAAAAACAAGCACCGCCGTGTGGAATTTACATCTGTCAAGGAACGGTAACCAATTAAGAGTTTCGAATAGATTTATTGACGGAGATCTTTGAGGTTGCTGTAAAATGATTTTAGCAATTCGTTTTTGTAACTTACAAACATTATTTATGTAGTTTGTGTTTCCTTTACCTCATATAATACAACAATAGTCCATAATTGGCAATATATATGCATTGTAAAACAATAATTTCATATCAAAGTGCAAAAAATACGATATTTTTTTCAATAAGGCAATTTTTCCGTTAAGTTTTTTTCCCTCTGTTTTGTGAGCCTTAATAATCAGTTGAGCGATATATGGCAATCGTGTCCCTATTCAATTTTAAAGAAAATCGCCTGTTCCAATAAATATGAAGAAGTATATACCTCTTACATAACTGTTATGTATAGGCTTAAGTATGTACTAATTAAACACTTAGCGTCATTATTAGCAAAGTATTCTGAGAGCTGCGCCAGTGTCCGCGCCCAGGTGTCAAAATTAAACTGTTTAATTTTAAACATTCACTCATCTTTTAAATAATTACTTCGAAGATATACTTCAAACTTAAACTATTTGATAATTTATTGCAAGTTTAGTTACTTTAAAGTGTATTGAATGATATCTCTCCCCTTTGACTTTTATTACTTTTAATGAAAATTGGTATGATGTATACCTTCCCTTTTTTTCTTCAACGTTACATTTTAAATGTTTAACACCATTACACTTGTAAGATTTAAAACTCGGTCACCTATCACTCATGAATATTTCAGCTTTCTACTTAGAATGTCGTACAAGATTCATTCAATTTTAGTGAAAAGTTAGTTTTTTCTTTATTATAAAAATGATTAATTTTAAATTTGAATAGTTGTCTCTGATCATTAACGTTTCTTAGTATAACAATGTTTCATCTCTACATTAAATATTTCATAGTTTGGGGACTTTGAAAATGTCTCAGAGTTAAATCGTATACATAAACATGCACAGTGCGTTATCTGGAGTGCAGGTATTAGTTACTCGCACTCCAGAGCATGTCCGTTGATTGGCTCATTATTGCTGGGGTTTACTTATTGTGACGGAAGAGAAAGGGAAAGCGACAGAAATATCATATTCAGATGCTCGTTCATTGGTTACTTTTTCCCGGGGTTTCAAATTGTGACATATTGTGTTTTTATGTTTGACTATGATACAAAAGAGAAAGAATATCAAAACACTCGGCAATTCTGATTAATACTCGGGGGCTACACCCCCTCGTACAAATCAGATAGCTTTGTGTTTCAATGCTCTTTCTATTACTAAACCGCCTTTAACCTTCTGTAAGATGATGTTTTTGACGGTACTAGGGGGTACAATACCCTCAATGGTCAAGTTCAATCAAATCGAGCTGCAATATTTTCAATTTTGCTGTTTTGGACTTTTTTTTATATGATTCTTTTATATTATATTTTACAACTTATTAATGTAAAAATTCCGACATTTACTAGATAATTATATACTTCGTTGATTTTCTTGAAACAATTTAGTATTTCCTTATCGTCATTTCCATGCTTTATTACCCTTTGACAAATTAAATTAATCCTTATGAATACATAGAAAATTCATTGCTATTATCTTTTTATATTAGATATTTTGTTTTTCTTGATATCAAAGCAACAAACATTTCATTAAACTGGATTTCCTCTTTGTAAAGCGTTTGTAAAATATTTAAACCAAGGAACAAGCTTTCTCCTAACAGCTTTTGTTTTGTTTTTGATAAACTACTTCCTGAAATTCATAAATATTCGTGCACCAATACATAAATAATTGTGCACCAATTTTGAAGTTTAATATCTTATTTGTGATTTTGTTATTATTATTTGCTGTTGTTATTTTTTGCAGATAAGAAAACCAGTCAATTTCACATCATGACCATAGGATTACATACCCCAACGCTTGGTAACTGCTTATCAAGCATGGATAAAGTAAAACGCCAGTGTCACTATAGAAACCTATCTACAATTATCGAGAATAATTCGAAAAGACAAAGTTGATAATCAGTGATAGACGTCAATGGTCACTCTGCAACTAACGTTTAAGCAATTATCAGGAAGCCATTGTCAGCAGAGGCAATATGAAAATTAATTATGAGTTCTATTTTGATTCTTGTATTCCAGTGCGATGAGAGGGTTTCTATATCAACACTGATATGTACATTAAAAGAAAAACGACGAATATTTTTATTAGAATAATTAAATTAAAAAGTATTGAAGTAAAAAGAAACATATACAGAGCGTCGCTAACGAGAGTCGGGATTAAATAAAATTGGAGATAAACCAATATTTTTTTCTTTGTTTGAATTGGAAGGTATTTCGCCTATGCTGTAAAAAGAACAAATTATGTTCCGATAATGTAAGCATATTCTTAAAATGTGATTTAAAATTTAAACATGTTTATCACCGTCTGAGAAATTGCAATATTTTATGGATTTATTTCATAAATGTGAATTTATTGTTTTAATAAACGACATCTACTGATAGTGAATTTGATCAGAAAACATTGATGGGGGAAAACTAAATTTATTCTGACACGCTACTATGAATATAGTACGTAGGAAAACGAGGATTTTTGTATTGACATTTTACAATGAACATAGTATGTGAAAGAACCTGGACACCATATTTTGACACTACGTGTAGAAACGTCACTATGAATACAACAGAAAATTTAACGCCATATAAAAGTGAAACATTGCAGTCTTTGAGTATTGCTTATAGCAGTCTTCATGGCTACATCAGTTTGGCAATCTGTGCTGTTGGAATACCGCTCAATATCATTAACATTGTAGTTTTAACGAGGAAAAATATGCAAACGCCTATCAATTGTTTATTAACGTGGTTGGCTGTAGCAGATATGGCCACAATGATATCATATGTACCCTTCTCCTACCATTTCTATTGCGACTTCTCGGCAAATAAAATATCATCAGAAAAGAACAGTTGGATATGGATGCATTTTCTTCTAATTTACTTAAATTTTTCCAGCACTGCTCACACAATCGCAATATGGCTTGCAGTGGCCTTAGCTATAATGCGCCATCATCACATCCATTCTCCGGCAAAAGGAAGTATTACACGCATGCGTCGTTTGATACGTGCTAGACTGGTTGTATGTATAATTGCCTTCTCATCTGTGATACTGCTTATTCCCAATTATTTGAGTCACAGTCTTGAAGAAGTCAGATTTCGTGACAACACAACTGGATATCTGTTCGAGGACTGGGAAATAAATTCAGGACATGCTGAACCAATGAGATTGGTGTCTTTGGTGATATACGGTACGTTTGCGAAGATATTACCCTGTGTGTTGATTATCATATTTGGTGCACTGTTATTACGGACACTGAATAAAACACGAGTGAATCGTCGCCATTTGTCAGAAAATGGTGTGACCATAAGTGCCCACACGCATGTTGACCCGACGAGGACTACAAGCATGCTTCTTGTAGTAATTGTCCTTTTTCTGATCACAGAGTTACCACAAGGTATACTGCTTATGTGCTGTTTATTCCTGCAAAACTTCTTTGAGAACATTTACATTCCACTTGGTGACGTAATGGATATTTTAGCTCTTATAAATAACAGTATTAACTTTGTGCTGTATTGCACAATGAGTTCCGAATTCCGGCGTACATTCGTTGCCTTATTTTGCTCATTTTCAACTTCGAACGAAAGGCGGAAACCGTACATAACTTCGCATTACCATGGCGACCATTTGCTTGTCACGCTCAACAGTGCGGAAAATACAGGGTGATATATAACATGTACTGTCATGTATTCTACAGTAAGTTTCACACTTACTTGACATTTTAGATGATTGGTCTAATGACATGCACACAAGCGGAACGATTTTGCATAGAAGGCAAATAAAAGTTGTGATATATTGACATGTCTGGCGAATTTTTAATACTGCCAGAATTTAATTATTTATAGTTTCTATGTAAATGAATAAATGTTACAGTCTAATGTAATTATGGTATGGCAAGAGAGGGGCAAACTACACAAAGTCTGATGAAAAAAGAAAATTATCAGGCTAAGCTGTGAAAAGTGATATTCATTTCCATGTGTATGCGTGTTACAAATTTCATTTTGTCTTTTGATTTATTTAGTGTCTAAGTTGCAACAATCAGTTTATTTTATGCAGTTCCGGAGAACTATCGAATTTTGTGAAATATAAATGTGATTATGATTTGCATAAGTTGTGTTTTTACAAATACTGAACAATTTTACAAACTTTGTCCTTTTGAAATTACTTATTATATATAGAGGGACAATTATTGAAATGAATTGAATTTTGCACACATGCTAACTCTTCATCAGTTGCAAGTATGAACCTCTTTGTTGCTGAGATTTCTAAAGGTATTTCTAAGTATTACTAGGTGTTAAAAAGATTTCTGCATGATAAATGTAATAAAGTGGTCTTTTTTAACCTTTACCTAGAATTAATTGATGTAAGATGACAACATTTCACGACGAATATCAGCATAGTAAATGCTTTGATATTTGTATAACCTAAGTTAAACAAGTTTTATTCTGATATGTTTTTTTTTCAGTGAGTATTTTAAATTGGATGAACCATTATGATTTTTAAACAATATATATTAGTTTTGAAAAAAAAATCATGGTTATCAGATACATATTATGTTCATGTTTTTTGCTGTATTCTGATTTCAAGTGTTTTGTTATACATTGTTTGAAATGTTACGTCAGTCATGTGATGATCTTGTTAAATAAAACTATAAAAATACGTTTTTGTTATTGTTTTGTACACCAATATTCATAAACTGGTCATGTTAGTAAAGTATATTAAAAATTATGTTTGTTAATTATATTATTATAATTGTATACCTCATATTATATACAAAAGATGCAAAGGTATATGTCATGCGTTGCAAAAAGGTGGTTCTAGCTTACATAATAAATCTTGTAAAGCCCAAGGGTAAAGTTGTCTTCAGTGAGCAAAACATCCCGGCGAGCTGACACAATGTAGTTTTCGTTTATAACGGATTATCCGACGGCATGACAAAAAACTGAGCCTTAATCTGAACAATTGCTTCAATGTGTTAAGGATTCAATAACAAAATACAAAACTTGAGCAACAAACAGTATACATGAAGCGCTTGTTCAGCCGTACCAATTGTTTAAGTTTGACTTGGCCTTAATAAGTATTTATAGTAGTGTGTAGCGATGGCTTTAACGGGACATCGCAGTTTGACGGTCTTTAATCACAAATGAAAAATTGCTTTAGTGTTTGAATTATTATAATAAAAATTAATAGCTATTCTAAGATGTGTTAGAATTTTTTCCTGCATTTGATATCATCCATGCTTAAAAGTTAGTGAAAATAAATAGTATTATCCAGAAAAATCAGTTTAATTAACCAGTCACAAGAAAAATATCAGTTGAATTTCAGACCTCATTTATTTCTTCATATAACGTTTAAGGATAAATACGCAGCGGTTTTAATGACGGACCATAACGCTTCTATATTCACATGCTTTTTATGTAAATGTTAAGGGTTTTTATTAAACGCTGCAAATTAAGTAATATTGATTTTCTTGCACATGTATTGAGTAATATTAACTACAGACAGGAAAATGTTGCGCAATATAATCGCCATAAAGAATATTTATAACTTTACTGATTTTCAATATTATTATTTGCAGACATGGATTTTAGGTTAAAATATGGCCGAACACCAAACTGTATAATAACTAGATGAAGAAGGTAAAACGATGTAAGCTTAAAAATAGTTTTTCCCAATTACACACAATTGGATAGTTATGTACTGTATTCTTTAGGGGGTTGTTATTGTTGCTGCAGTTGTTTTTCTGCCTTTTTCCCAATGAAACTCACTTAAATATTAATTTTGTGCGCTGATTTTTATTGTAATGTACAATTCTAAGACGTAAGTAACTGTGTCGTATTTTACCTGTTATTCATGCCTCATCAAAATAAAAAAAAATAATATCCGTGTTTTCCTAATGCAATTTAAAACGTTGAAAGAAATAATATTTATAATTACAATGCGTCGTTTCGCCCCGGCCTATGCTTCAATATTCATGAGTAAATTAGAGGAAGTTAAGATTATTTACGAATGTGTAATCGTAAATCTACGCTTTGGCTACGATTTTTTTGACTATTATTTTTTTTTTTTGATGATATATATTATCTGGGATCACTGCTCAAAAGACGTTTAAATTTTTATTAAATTCTAACACAGAAGTATTAAATTTACATTTAAAAGCTCTGAGGACAGTGTATCATATCTTGATGTGAATATTTCTAAGGAGTTTCCAAACATTTTTAATACAAAAATCCATATAAAAATAATGATATTCATCATTATCTGGAGTATACATCTTGTCATCCTAAATCATGTAAAGATAGTATACCATTTAGTCAAGCCAGGCGGTACCGTCGGATTATATTGAATGGTAGCCGACTTAAGGAATCCCTTGAATCCCATAACGTCGTTATTCTCTTTAAAGAAATTACCATAGTATAGTAATTGACGAAGCATTAAATAAAGTACAACACGTGAAAACTGAATAGATTAGCCTTGATCACAGACACCTGGGTAGCAATCCAAAGCTGCCACTTGATATAAGCTACCCATTCATCAAGTTTGGTGTCAATAGGCCAAAGCAAACTCAAGTTATTGAGCAGAAACTGAATTTCTTTTTTTAGTATCTGTGACCCTGACTTCTGACACCTGGGTAGCAATTCCAAGCTGCCTCTTGATATAACCTACATATACACCAAGTTTGGTGTCAATAGCCCGAAGCAAACTCAAGGTATTGAGGGGAAACTGAATTTCTCTTTTAGTAACAGTGACCTTGACCTTGATGACAGACGCCTGGGTAGCAATCCCACGCTGCCTCTTGATATAAGCTATCCATACACCAAGTTTGGTATCAATGTGATTTGATATGAACAAATTAGACTCTGAAAATAGGAAGGAGGTTAGAAAGAGTACAATGTTGATTTGATATAGTTGTTTCGGAGTAGGAAATTAAAACGGGGCAAGATTGATTAAAATAAAAAAAATTATGGATGGACTTTTCTCTATTCAGGAAACGGTAACGAGTCAAAACCAGTTTATATCCAATAATGATCACGCGGTGCAAATACACGGTGTTAATTGGAAGCGAAATAAATCGATTTACTCATTTGCAGTAATTATTTTTTCTCAACATTTGCAATTGTTGTATTTAGAGATATATAGGCATGTGAGGCTTGACAATTTAAGTATTCTCGTAAATGGAAAGGAAATGAAAGAAAAATAAATATAAATGTAGGGATTTGAAGACTTAAGAAAAAAACATCGGCCAATATCGTAGCAAATCGGTTACTTCTGAACATTATGTTTTCATTTTTTTTTTTGCATTAGACTGTTTACAATCACCTAGCCTTCATCGATATGTACTAAATTTCGGTTATAAACGGTTAAAAAATACTGAACACCATAGATTGTGAAAAATAACGTTCCGGAAACGACCGATTTATTACGATTATGGTCGATATTAGATTTGTTTGACGGGAAAGCGTTGCAGTAACACTACTATTAATTCATAATATGACTCAGGATCATATTCTGTCTTCATTTTTACACTTTTACCAAAGGAGACATTAAAACAAAATTATCATAATTATTCAATATTGCACAATAATGTTAGACACAAAGAATAAAGTTCTTTAGACGTAGTGACACAAACGAGCCCGATGTCTTATTAGATTTACAACTGTAACATTGGGTGCATGCATTGCTGTCGGCGTTTGCATTTGCATACAAATGAATTTGGAACTTTTTTGTTTCTCACTGTATTGCTTACAAAGCATACATTTGCATCGAAAGGATATTCTTACAATGCTAGAATACTTACAATGTATCATCAAGATGAACAAAAATTCATTTTGTCGTACAACAGAGATAGAAATCAATGGGTTTATTTAATTACATCATAACATAGCTAGCGGAATACAATTATTATATCTGGAAAAACACAAATTAAAGAAAGAAATGATTCAAATTAACAATGACGTTGCATAATTGCAAAACAGATGAGAGCAAGTGGAACTAAATTCCCCGATAAAGTGCCGTAACGGTTTAAGAAATGGACTCACAATCAGTGAAAGGAGAAATTGGCCGGAAGTTCAAACCGTAAAACAAGAAATACAATTACATTGTTGTTCTTGGGCATTACGTCGCAAAACCTAAGTAGAGGTCACATGTTGACTGGTAGAGAACGATCTCTGGCGTCCCTCCGTGCATTATGTCATACTCGAGCAGGTATCTAAGCAGCCCATTGTCCTGAAATACTTGAGTAACACATTGTTCAGAAAACCTTTGTTTTAAATGACGGCTTTAATGTTTTTAAATAATATTCTCTGTAGTTATTGTATAATCGGTTTAATATTGTAAAATAATCGATTTTGTCACGCAACCGATTAAAAAAACTGAAACAAAATCACAAAAAAACTAGAAATGTGTCCATAGGACACAGATGCCCCCACACGCCACTGTTCTGTCAATCTTATGACTCTAGGTCAAATATTTTTTGGACTACATGTGCCACAAGTTGAAAACTAAAAATCAACAAAGGGCCATAATTTTGTTAATAATGGTCGCAGCAAAAATTCCTTTCTTGACTACCATCTACACATTAAAGTTGTTCATCCCTGGAAGTTTTGCAAACTCTGCCATCCGGTTTAAGAGGAGTTGCGTTCGCAAAATTTCGGGACGTTCGGACAGACGTACAGACGGACGGACGGTCAAGTGCAACGCTATATGCTCCCACTTTGTGGGGGCATAAAAACTAGAACCTCCAGTGTGGGAAAGAAATTACTTTTAGATTATGACATTCGATTGCTACGTTCTAAAGGAGTAAATAAAGTGAATCTGATTGACTACACTAAATATATAACTTAGTATAATATCTTTGGATTTTTGGAATATGAACAAAGAAACAACTGATGTTTAACTTTTGGACAAAATAAACATTTGAGATTCCTTTTTATTTGTTTTTCCTGTGTCTTTCTTACTTCTTTATAAATTCATTAGAACCTTTCTCCAAGAAATTCGAGACGTGAGTCGGTCTATGGAAATTTATTCTCTGCTTAATTCAATTATGATCGTTACTTCCGACTACAGCATCAGTCAATATCTTTCCTATCTTTTCCGATTTTGAGTCACAATTAGATCTTAGATTTTCGTAGATCATTTTTGCCTTTCTTTATCATGATTTGGATAAAGAATTTTTGACAATACGCTTCAGTTTATATGACATTCTGCCTATATTACATAATATTTAATGGTCAATAATGGTATATTAACTAAAGGAGTTGTGTTTTAAATATAATGATAATCAAAGTGTAAGCCCACATGTATGTATTGGCTAATCGGGAAGTGTAAGCTGTAAAATGTAAAATATTTATAATTGGGAAAAATAATATTTTTGAAAAGCCATACTTACCAATTACATATAAGAGTCCTCATAACATCGTAGTCATTCTTTTAAAATTGGCTATAACCGTAAACCTAAGACTGATTCGCGATCTTAAATCAAAAGACCGCTGAAAGACCAGCTTACTTTTTTTTAATTTTACTAATGCACAACGCCTCCAGGTCGGTGTGTAATAATTGTTTAACTCGTTACAAAAAAAGTAGAAAGATGCAATAAACCACGCTGGCTAGGTTCTTTGCCAAACAGACATTTAGCGATCTCGTT